TCTCTTTCAGCTTTAATTGAATTGTAGCCATACACTTGACGTATGGCAAGTAAAACAAGTTGTTTAATTTGCAATGGAATAGTAAGTAAAGTTTTAATTGCAAGATTAGCAAAAAAAAACCCTTGTAAATATTCTTGACTTTGTAAGTACTCTAAAAACTTGGAGATCGGGGGTGACAGATATTTTGTGCTTGTCATAAAAGTAGCATTGGTTCTCTCTCTTTCTAAAAATATAGCATATATATTTATACTCTCTAAATATATATATATCATATATTTTTATATACTTAATATTTATTTATTATATATGTGTGTATATTAGCAAGCTTTTGTTCCTGAAAACAATTCAGTCACAACTACAAAAGAATGACAACAGATTAACTGAACTCATGAAATGATGCTTTTTGCTTTTCTGATATAGGATCTGGGAAGATTCATCAATCAGATGGTGACAGGGCTGAGTGCAAGAGTGATAAAGCCTGCAGAATGGGTGTAGCTCCCTCTTTTCCTTTTATTAGCTCTTTGGAGGTTACCCATCTGAGTACTGTCCTCTGTAAAATAGGGATAGATACCAAAGAGATGCTATAAGAATTAAATAAGAAAACACATAAATTGCACAGTGCCATGCCCTACACATAGTAGATACCAATACCTGTAAATAAAAGATTCAAAGACATCACCAATGTAAAAAAAAGACTCCAAGTGGGGCTGGGAAGGTGGCTCAGTGGTAGAGCGCTTGCCTTGCATGCATGAGGCCCTGGGTTCGATTCCTCAGCACCACATAAGCAAAAAGAAAAAAAAAGCCGGAAGTGGCGCTGTGGCTTAAGTGGTAGAGCACTAGCCTTGAGCTGAAGAGCTGAGGGACAGAGCCCAGGCCCAGAATTCAGGCCCCATGACCGGACCAACCCTCCCCCCCCCAAAAAAAAAAAAAAGACTCCAAGTGACTCAGACACACTAGGACTTTCTGACTTGAAAGGCAAGGGGGTTATCCTGGAAGAGCTGATTCCTGACTAATGTGAGTGTGAGGGCACGGAAGGTGGCTTCCTGTTTCAACTGAATCCTTCTGCTAGGTCATTCCACTTTAGTTGCTATAATAAATCACTCTATATTATAGCAATAATATCAATAAATTAATGTCTGATGCTAATGTACTGCAAATGTTTCATCAGGAACCTGAGAAAATTAGTCTAAAACTGTTCACCATCTCCAAAATCAGAAGGGCTCATTTCTCAGGCAATTAGGTCTAGAGAGTGCACCCTAATGGCTTTCATAATATGTACGCTTCCCATGATGGAGGATTACTTCTTAGTACTCAGAGGTTTTTCACAAGGTGAAGAAGACAAAATGATTTTGTGCAGAGTGAAGATAATACTGCAGTGCAAATAACATTTACAGCAAATAACATTTACAGTAAATAACATTGTGTTTGAAAAGAGATTCCCTGGATGTCTTTCTTAAGCGAGATGACTATAGTTAACACTAGATTTTTTTTGGTACCAGGGTTTGAATTCAGGACCTTTCATTTGCTCAGCTTGCTCACTTGACTGGTATTCCACTACTTGAGTCATGCATCCAGCCCTGCATTTTGCTGGTTATTTTAGAGGCAGAGTTTCACAGATTTTCTGCCCCCATGAGCTTTCAACTGTGATCTTTCAGATCTCAGCCTTGAAAGGCTAGGATTACAGGCATGAGACACCAGTGCTTAGCTCTGGACAATAGATTTTATCATCTACAGCTGTGTTTAAAATATTTCACAAGACCCTGTGTGAAAGTCAGTAATGCTCATCACACTAACATTCTTTTAGGTTCAGAATGCATTCTAGGCCTTTTGCATACATAAATTCATTTAATCTTTTCAAAGTCCTATGCAGAAGGAAATATGCACAACACAGATGAGGAAACTGGGGTAAAAAGGGCTAGATAATCAGGGAGTGAGACATTATTTGCTTTAAATTGTCCCTCTTGAACATTTTCAAGTTAAGCCTTCTTTTTTTTATTGTGAAAATACCATACAGAGGGGTTACAATTACATGGGCAAGGTAGTGAGTACATTTCTTATCAAGCATTGTTGCCTCCTCAAGTTAAGCCTTCTTTAATCCATGCAATTGCCCTTTTATTTTATTTCCTATAAATTTTTTTTTTGGGGTCTGGTCGTGGGGCCTGAACTCTGGGCCAGGGCGCTGTCCCTCAGCTCTTCAGCTCAAGGCTAGCACTCTACCACTTGAGCCACAGCGCCACTTCCGGGTTTTTCTTTTTTGCTTATGTGGTGTTGAGGAATCGAACCCAGGGCCTCATGCATGCAAGGCAAGCGCTCTACCACTGAGCCACCTTCCCAGCCCTATTTCCTATAAAATTTAGCAAGATTTATTTTAGTCAAACAGAATGATGTTGGGAGAAAAAGGAACGGAGGAAAGAGGCATCTCCTGCTCTACATGTAGGAGTTGCAAGTGAATACTCAACATGGTGATTCCCATATTGGACATTCATGCATTAGGAGTCCACTCATTTTGTTTTATTTCCAAGGGACAGTAGGTATAGAGTGTGTCTGTTAACCAAAATCATCTCGTTGCTGTTGTAAAAACATGGAAAGAAATGATCTAGGCCAAAAAATCTAGGTCTGTAAAACACAGAACCAATAGTTGTAATTTGAGGACATGAATTTGCCTATCACCTAGTGTAATGTTCTGCCTACCTACTGAATTTGCAAAACATCTGCATTTATCACCTCCCTTAAAAGTTCATCTCCTGAAGGGTACAGTGCTAGCATAACATCATTTGCTGATAAAGAATTTTCACTGAATGACACTCAACAAGTACAGGTATTAAATGAGTGCCTTATTATGTGCCTAGAACTTTGTGAGCCTTCAGTATCTTAGCAATGAAAATCTGAGCATAGCCTTTTTTTAAAAAAAAGTTTTCTTATAGCAAATTCTGCTTTTGTGACTGGCAAAATACAAGTATTTTCCACAAGGAGACAGGAATCCAGCATGATGATGATTAGTTGTGTAAATGCAGCTGTAGCTCTGAAAGAGCTGACAAGTGTATGTGACAAACCTATACATTACTTCTGCATCAAGGAGAAGCATTATATTTCAGGCACCATGAATAGCATTTGCCTAGCACTGGCTAAAACACAAGCCATTCTTATTTTGGATTGTTGCCATTATTGGGAATACTATCGCAGAAGTAAATGTTTAGTGCATATGAAATGCCATCATAAAGCATGATTTTAAATGATTGTATATGTGAATCAAACAAATATTTTGTAGTGGTGCACACATGCAACATCTTATAGAAATTAAGCATCTAAATCTCTACCTTTTAAAAGAACCAGAGCACAAGATATTTTTTCCCATGGATACTGAATACATTATATATCTATACCAACTCTTAAGTCTATTATGTAAGGCAATAAAAGAAAGGCCAAGTTTGAGAATGAAGTACCTGTGCAGTGGTGACAGCTTCCAAGTAGGAGGTGATTTCAGAATGCCCACTTGCATTAGGAAAGAGCTCTAAGGACTGAAGGATGTAGTGCAGGGGTTAGGGCATGCTAAGATACCCTGAATATTATCAAGTGAAGGTAGAAGAACAAAAGCAGAAGCAGGGTCTTTGTGTACTCTGGAAGGTTAAACACTGTCCAGTGCCAAGAGACATTACTGTGATAGTTCATTCTGAATGACTCAGTGAATAGAATGTTAATGAATAGAATGAATGAAAACAGTCTTAAAGTTACAAGGGGAATGCAGAGGCCTCTTTGAATCTCAGAATGGTAAATTCTGATGTGCTCCAACAGCTTCAGCTGTTGACAGAATAGTGACATGCCATCTTTGCTCCACAGCTAACTTTCAAAGGAGCCAAGGGACCTAATTAAAGGCATAAATGACTTTAGTAGCACCTAAAAATCTGCCTGGAGTGTCTAAAATATCCTTTGTTTTTTGACTTCGTTCCCCCTGTAGCCAACTTTGGGGTGGGGGTGGGAAATATATACCCTCCTACATACGCTTTTCTTATTCTTATGATAATACCAGCTTTTTAGTGCAGGAGGTATGTGTGGTTTATCAGCTATAAACGAAATTGCTACTTAGTTGTAAATTCATTTCATCTAAGTTGAATTGGACAGTCCAATTTCGTACTGCCAAATTGAAATTCTTTTTACTTCTTCTTGAGTCATTGTCATAAACACTGTGCATGGAGGCTTTGACCTAGCCCCCTCATTCTTTCTTGAAGGGACTACTTTGTGTCATGGCATGCCCGCTGTATCTCTTTGGGTCTTTATGCATTTTATTGCATTGATGGATAAACTTAAGTCTATGGCTTTTGAAAGCACAAAAGTAACCCTCAATTCTCATTCTATAAAAGTCCATTGGTAATGAAAATTTCAAAGTTGTTTTACCAAAGTAGTTATAAAAGTAGAGCCTGAGGAAGGAAGAGAATTAAACACATTTATATACTCTGCTTTTCCTTTTGGATTGGTTAACCGAATAACCTGTACCTTGAAGGAATTCAGAAATTTACCCTAGTAAGCAAAACTGTTTTAGTCTTGTGAAATAGATTACAGATATATAGCAGATACATGGAAAGACAGCCTTAGGAATCAGTTAATGTGATTTTTCCATTAGAGTATTGTTTTATTGTATTCATTAAATAGGAGAGTTAATCTATAGTATACTAAAGTGTGGGAAACCATATATATTTTTCTGCTTGGCTAGATTCAGGGCTTTGTATTCTTGCTTGGCTTTTGTGTTCAAAGCTGATGCTCTGCCACTTGAGCAACCCCTCTACGTCTGGATTTTTAGAGATAAGAGTCTGTTGGATTTTCCTGACTGTGTTGGCCTTGAACCACAGTCCTCAGATCTCAGTGACTGGCTACACAGCTCTGCACCTGACCCTGAAGCTGGGCAGGGACCCTTAAGAGCATTCCTTGTACCTGGAAAGCATTTGCAACACAGTTTCTACTCTGTTTAAAAATTGTGTATTTACAAAGAGACCAGTTTTACTTACAGCTGATGGTTATTCCAAGTTCCACGTTGTGCTTCTTAGGGAGCTTTACGTGAAAGGTTCCACTGCTTGGGATGACAGATTCTGCAATTTTGAAACAAAAAAAAGTGTTTATAAAATACCAGTAAGCCTGGAGCACCAATCAATGAAAATGTATCTGGAATACTTGTCTCATGACCACTAGCATAGTAGTCATGATGCAAGTTGAAGCAAGGTGATCGGCTATGAAAGCCTAGCAAACCAAGCTCCTGATGACGAACACATGTTCTGCCCACATCTGCAGGATGTGCAGCCACAGTTTGGTGTTTCTCAAGCAGAGTATAATCGGCAAATATAATACACTGATTTCCTAAATCATCCTAGATTTATGACATCAGTATTTCTGAAAATGAAGCCTGGAGCCCTGGATGTATGGGCATGCTAAAGCTATGTGCTTCCTTCACAACCATCATTTCCCAGAGTTTTACTATTCAACAGTTCTTTCCTCTTGACTTGTTAGAAGGCAGCTAGAGAAATATATTTCAGGAGAGATGTCAATTTGCTGTGATGGCTGTTGATTGGAGATGAGGGAAGAGAGGCCTTAATGTGTAATGTCAGCAATGATTTGATGATAAGAGGAGTATAAGCAGGAATGATATTCAAAATGTTTCACACCCAGAACAGTATTGACAGTGACCAGCTATACTAGACACTTACTACAGAGCTGAGGCCCTGGAGGCCTCAATTGAAATAAGAGTAAACTTTTGGTTTCTGGATTCTGGGTTGCTCAAGGAAGTCCCAGAGATAATCAGGGGTCCTTGTAGGTGGGCACAGATACTGACCATCCAGTATAGAAGTACATAAACCAGTACTGTAGCAACAGAGTGAAACCAGTATGCACTGGCTGATTTTTGGTGCTCCATACAACTCTGCTGATTTCACAGGTCTTGACTGGTAGCTGAGAATGCAAGCAACTGCTACAGATTCTTACATGTACTCTTAACATTCATTTTATAATCTGGAGACCTTTAGTTAGTGGTCAATGAAAATATCCTCAGAAGAAAAGGCACCTAACTTATACTAACTTGCTAAAGATTACAATCGTCTCTCACAGGTTATGGTTATCAAGAGTAATGGGGACAATCAAGAGTAAAGGAAACATTAGCACAAGGAAGAATTATAGGACAGCCCAACTAAACTACTCTTACCAATTCATTAGACTGGATTCAAGGCTAGCTTCCCACCTAGACCACAAAGAATGGGATATGGGTAGAGTTACTAGACTCTCAGGCACCTAGTCCAATTGTTTATCATGTTTCAAACACTGTGAGTCTCTGTATAACAGAGGTGAAAGTTAAGGCTCATGGGGAAATAGAGTCTGCCTCTCCTTGTTCTGCCTTAAAGTGTTCTACTTGGCCTCCTGTCCTTTCCCTTGAGAAATGTAGGTGGTAAACTTTTTACAAGACTCAGATCTGATATTTCAATTAGGAATGTTCACCATAGAACATTAAACTAGAAAACACAGTAAAAATTTGATTTCCCTCAGCCCTCTAGGTTTCTAGAAAGCCACCTGTAAAGAAGAGCCCTCAAATTGCTCTTCTGTGTTTGGGCTTTTCCTTTTAGGTCTCCTGCCTCTTCTTGGTTCACTCTCTTTTAAACTCTGTAAGCAGGTCAGTGTGACAGATAGAGGTAATACCTCAACTGCTGTCCTCAACTAATGCTAATATGTCAGGAATCGAACCCATGTACATGTATTTGTTTAGCTAATCAGAGTAAATTTATATTGTTCCCATTTTCCAAGAGGTCTCATGAGAGACCAAATTATCCATTTCCTTCAGCAAGGAGAGACCAGTTGATTTTGATATATTGGGGCAGAAAAAAGAGAACTGTGAAAGGGGAGAGAGGGATGTATTGTACTTTTGTGTTTGTACATCTGTGTGTGTACACACCATTTGCTTCTGATGCTATCTTTATACAAGCGAGGTCTTGGATCACAAAGGCCAAGAAACATGGATCTAGAATAGTTACTAAGTAACCCTTGGCTTTTTATAAATTTTTAGGGCAGGGAAAGTTGATCAAGATTAACATTGTCAATGACATTAGAGGAGGTGTTATTACTTCCTGGTAAACAGTCATGGATCACTTTTGACTACAGGAGATTTGAAGCATTTATAATACTAAATAAATATCAACTAATGAATGCCTTTAATCAACAGGGGCTTCATTTTAATCCTTAAATGCCAGTATGATTTATTTTACGTGTGATACTTTTTCACGCTATAATTATTTGCCTGTTAACTCAAAGGCATATTTAATCTGGGATTTTTGTAAAGAAATACTGTTCAAAAGGAAAAGGTTCCAATATTTGGGAAAACAACCCATTTAGAGTAGCAAATATAATTCAGGGAACAAATGGTGTTGATTTTGTTAGACTCCCATATGATTATTTTGCACTTCTCTGTTTTTGTTTTTATCTTTGTTAATACTATAATTAAAAACACATTTGGGTAAAAAGGTTTCCTTCTTTCCAGTTGGTCTGCTTTTCAGCCTCAAGCATTCTTTGTTGGCCCAGTAAGATAACCACCATATGATCATTTATCAGTTTGGACACCCTCGTGAGGAGTGTAAATGTTTAAGCTGCCCCCCTTCCCCGGCCCCCCCCCCCCCCCCGCCCCCGGCCCCAGACTCAGAGGAAAGCACTGGGAAGGCTTCAGTAATGATTGTAAACAACATTCAGTAGGATTTTCACTGAGAGTTCTTTCCAGGACAAAGCTGTATTTCCTCTACAAAACAACTTCATAATTGAAGTAAGAGCTTCAAGTAGCTAGATATGGTAGGCTGTTATTTAAAAGATAATCCTAGCTACTCAGGATGCTGAGTACTGAGGATCACCGCCAGAAGTCAGCCCCTGGTAGAAGAGTCCAAGAAACTTTTATCTCCAATTAATCATCAAAAAGCCAGAGGGGGAACTATGGCACAAGTGGTAGAGCACCAGCCTTGAGCAAACAAGCTGAGGGACAGTGCTCAGGCCCTGAGTTCAAGCATCAGTAGTGACATAAAAAAAAAAAAAACTGAAAACTAAAAAACTAAAAATGAAGAGGCTGGGTTTCAGTGGCTTATGCTTGTAATCCTAGCTACTCAGGAGGCTGGAATCTGAGAATTGTGGTTCAAAGTCAGCCCAGGAAAGGAAGTCTGTGAGGTTCTTATCTCCAATTAACCACCAGAAAACCTGAAGTATTGTTATGACTCAAAGTAGTAGAGCACTAGCTCTGAGCTAAAGTGCTATGGGACAGTGCCCAGGCCCTGAGTTCAAGCCCCATGACCAACAGCATAACAACAACAACAAAAGACAGAAAAAAAAGGAGACAGATTTGAACAAGGCAAATTGTAAAAGATGTAAGTGTTAGGATTTTAAGTTTATAAAATTGTATGTTTGGTAAAGGCTTTTGGCCAATAATGGAAATAGTTTAAACTTCTATTTATTAGAATGATGGGGTTATAAGAAGCTTCAACTTTTAAAAGATTTTCTAGTAAAGATCGATGCTTATGCAAGATATGTTCTCAGTCAGGCTTTGTAACCACTTCTACATTATTTAAAATATTTTTAAAATGCCGACAATTTACCTCTGAGATGCAAGGGTCGGAGAACTAACATTTTGGTTTACAATGTATCAGAGAAAGAATTTTGGAAATGATTGCATATATTCAGCCGATTGGATACAAATTAGGACAGGGCAGTCTTGAACTAGCTCACATTCAGAGATTTCTTGTCAATGTCTCAAGTTCTTTATTGGCTAAAAGGATTTCTCTGATTTAACAGTTTCCAAAATATTCCTGAAGAGCAAGAATGACTTAAGTGTTTCATTAAGGATTCTATGGTTGTGTTTGCTTTCAGCAGGAGAATAATGGCATTAATTAGTGATGTTTGAACAAGGGGAGAGGGAGTGACAGGTGGGAACATATTTTCTTGCCCTATTGTAGATCATGTCTATCCATTTGAAATGGGTGCTTCCTGAAGCCAACAAGGACAGGAGGACCTTAACTTCCTTTTCCCTATCCCCTATCAAATAAGTCAGGCACTGAATAAAGAATGTTTAATAGATATTACACCTCCCAAATTTTTAGGAATCTAAACCTAAGAGATTAAAGTAGTAAACCAACACACACAGACACACACAGACACAGACACACAGACACACAGACACAGACACACACACACACACACACACACACACACACACACACACACACATCTTCCAACATCTCTGATGTCCCCTAGTTGAGTGCTTTTTGCCTCCCCTTTATGTTACTTTAGCACTTTGACTGTCTTAATCCTTTCTTGAGTATCCCTGAAATTCAAAACCTTATTATGACACTATGACCTCTGTCTGCTACCCAATATCTCTTGCCACTGCTTTCTTACTGGGCCCAATTTAATTTCAGAGGACACCTAGTTCTTTAAGCCATTATCTTTCCACTCAGTCCATCAGGCTGTTTCTTTATTGATTCTCATCCTGCTCCAGCTTTGATTTTTTTCAAGGGCAGGAATTAGAAATCTGGTCTTGGAAACCAGCTTGACTGAGTTAAAATGTCATGTTCACTATTACCTCCATGTACTTCAGTCTTCTGAAGACATAATAATAGGAACTTGTGTAGTACTGTATGGAACAAAAATGACTGAATGAAACACGGTACTCAGGAATGTGACCAGCCACAAAGCAAGCAATATTTTCATGCTAATTCTTTTGATGTTATCTGGTCTCCCAGCAACAATCTGAACCTCCTGGATTTAAGTTCTTCAACTATTGAACCTTCTCTAGAAGTTTCAATGTCTGGCTCAATCCAATCATTTATTTCTCTGCTCTTGTTCCTTTGCAGCTGAGATTTCCCAAAAAGAATACACAAGCAAACCCCCTTTCTCATGCTGGTAGACACTGCTATAAACTTAGAGCTTCCAGATTCTGCCTGGTCCTTCACTGACCTTAAAAATTCTTTCCAACCTTCTGGTTATGTTTCCCCTCTCTCATTTCTCCATTTGTTATTCTAAACCAATCCTCTTTTTCAACTCCCCAGACTACTACTGAACCTTAGCTTGCTAGACATTACACAAACTACTTGAACTCAATGTGCATATAGATACAATGTACTTATATTCTAATATCCCATTCTTCAGATTCCTGGCAAGTGGTCTCTGCCTTCCACTCTAGACTAGTTGTCTCATGACCTGCATCATTTTCATGTTCTTTTGGGGACCTTATTCCACCCAGTATTTCCTCTCTCCTTCATTTGTTTTGGGGCCTACATATGCTCAAATATCTCTACATTTAATAAAATTTATTTAAGAAAATAAAAACAAAGTAAGATAACACTCCTCTGAATGATGAATTCTCCCCTCTATTTGGTATCCTATCTCCTTTCTCTATGACTAAATTCCATGATGCTGGTTGCCAGATGTTCCATGGGGCAAATATCCTGGCTGAGACCACTGAATAGAAGATAAGGCAATATATACAAACAGAGCATTGTGTAGTTAACTTGATGTGAAGATGTGAGTATGGTTTCTTAAGGGAAGAACCCACATTGGCATCTAGTCATTTGGCAAACATGTGTCCCTTCCCTCTGATGGCTAATCAAGTTTCAATTAGTATTTTTCTATCCACTGTCTCTCTTACCCTTACCTTTCTCTCAGCTTTACCTTTCTTGTGGATTGCATTTAAATTCCCATGAGCCTTGGCTGTATTGGAGTTAATTCAGTCTTTGTCCCTTTTTTTACAATCATCATGACTCTATTGAAATAGTCTTGAATAAAGTTTTCCTTGTAATTTTTAATGAGTGTCAGGTACAATTTGCCTTTAACTCTAAAGACCACATATTTACCTACTGGGATTGTATTCATTCCCTTAATGAATATTCACTGTTCCTTATACAACTTTCATCTACAAGAAGAGTCAGGAAGGTTCTGTGTGTGTGTGTGTGTGTGTGTGTGTGTGTGTGAGAGAGAGAGAGAGAGAGAGAGAGAGAAAGAAAGAGAGAGAGAGACAGAGACAGAGAGACAGAGACAGAGAGACAGAGAGATAGAGGTAGAGACAGACAATGTCTTGGGGTTTGACTCAGGGCCTAGGCTTTGTCTTTAAGTGTTTTTGCTTAAGGCTATCACTCTTACCACCTGAGCCATAGCTCCATTTCTGGCAACTTTGCTGCCTGGCCTGGCTTTCAGAAATGATCCTTAGATCTCAGCCTCCTGGGTAGCAAGAATTACAAGCATGAACCATTGGTGCTCAGCCAGAGGACTCTATTTTTTGGGACTAAAGAATCTGGTTTCTCTAGCATACAGGATGACATTAGGAAGAATAAGAGGGACATGACTTTAAAAATCACCGCCATTGTGGCAATTATTTATTCAATTTGTCACATTTATTTTCAATTGTTCTTGTGGTGACATTTTAATGACTAATACAGGCTCAATTCAAAATGACACCTCAAACCTCTTAAACAAAAACATGCTCTGTATATAAATAAAGAGTCCTCCATCTGCTACCTAACCAACACAATTTACGGGAAGCCCATTTCCAACTCTGTCACTGATTCAAGATTCAGATTATACCTGCAACATCAAACTCGATCTCCAGTGTGACCTTGCTCGTGATGGAAGAGTCTCGGAGGAGTTGATTGGCTTCCTCAAAAGTGCTGTCTTCAGTTGGAATTCCATTAATGGCCATCACTCTATCTCCAATCTGGAGCACCCCACATCTAATTTAGAACCACATGTTAGAGGTTGAAGATTGAGTAAATATTTATCAAGCCAAGCTTGGCAAGTCTACCTTGTTTGATCCTCGCAAAATAGTATAAGCATTTGGTCTTGTATATTCAATGCTGTGAGCATTGTTTTAGGTTAATTGTAATGTCTTACATCGTGCATTTTCATGATTATAACTATGAGTAAGGGAATCCAGAATTATTCTGAGAAATAATTTATAATTCATAACCATAGTGTTATAATCTGGTGGTGTGAGCCAACATAGTAACGTTAGATGTACATTTCTGTATGGCAGAGAAGGTACTGAAATTTGACTTCAGACTTTTTGAGGGGGCATGGATTGTTCTCCTTTTTAATTAATATAGCCTTTAGTTCTCCGATGGACAAATTCAGCTAGAGAAAGGCATCCATGCTCATAATTCTTGAACCTGATCAAGAACATAAAATTTTATTGTCAGAACAGAGAGTTCATTACATCTTGCATTTCCTGCTTTGAGCACTCTTCCATAATTTATTAGCCACTCACAGATAGCCAGTGCCAGAAATGTAGAGCAAGAAAGATGCTGAGAAAGAAAAGGGTCTCACCTCTCTGCTGGGCTGTCAGCTTCGATATAGGAAATCAGAGGTGGGGAAGAGAGTGTCTCTGTGGCAAACACACTGCCTTGCAGTTGGATTCCAAATCCGGTGACGGGATCTGCCGTCAGTACAACCTCAGTGGTTTCTGTGTGAACCACCTGTCCAGCCATCCCCACGGTGCTCGAGGCCAAAGACACTACAGGAACAAACAGGAACAAGAGGGACTTTAGGCTTAGACAAGTACCAGGAGCACCAGCATTTCTCAAACAGTCATTCCTGAACCCAAAACAAAACAAAAACCAAACCCTCTTGGGCAAGAGTGGACATTTAAATTCTGGCTTTCTAGCAAAAACCGTTTGGCTAACGTTACAAGAGACACGACTCTCCCAATGTGTGTCACATTTCAGTCATGACACTTAGTGTCACTCTCTCTCTGCCTCCTCTGAAATAGTGGCTGGAGGCTGAAAACAGCCTTGGGATGAGGGTAGGGGGGTTCTAGTCTTGGCTCTGAAGATGAGCACCGGCTGGGAGAACCTTGGGGTAAGTCATTCATCCCTTTGTGTGTCTGTGTCCTATCTAGGAGGAGAGAAGTTAAGCTGGCAGTTATTACAATGGATTTTCTACTTCAGCCCTCTGTGCTTGCACTCTACCAAGTTTTACAAACCACCCCATCTACAGCTGGCCCCCAAGGATGGTCTGGTGGTGCTAGCTCTCAATCTGACTCAGGCATGGAGTTGGCAGTGGAGTCATCTGAACATGACACATTTCCTCTACTTTTACATTTGGTCTCCTCAGCCCTTGTTCTTCCCACTGGACCTCCCTCCACCCGCTTGTCTCATGTTCCGCTCATCTCTCCAATACTCCGCAAAGCCTCCAGCCAGACATCTCGCTCATATTTCTGTCTCCACAACTAGAGGCCTCTCTCTCAGTCCTGCAAACTGGAGCCAGCTCTCTGTCTGTGTGCTTCAGTGTTACTTTCTCCAAAGAAGGGCCTTCTAGCCCTCTGAATTGACACCCAAGGGCATCAGGTAGCTCAAAAGCCACTTCAGCCACAGGCATTTGTTTGCGCTGCTTCCTCCTACAGGAGACACAGAAGAAGGACTTAGAATATTCCCTGCTCCTCACAGTGATTTTCTCTCTAAACTTCTACTCACAACTCCATATTCTCTACTATTTCTGCTTTGTCTCACCTTTAACACTAGTTTTCTACTTTTTTTTTTCAAAAGCTGGCTTTGTGGCTCTTCAGCTTTTTCAACACTAGGTTTTAGGAACTCCATCATACTTCAGCTCTGTCTGCAAAGCCATCTGCAACACTCCCTTTTCTTTCAACACAGAGAGATCTCTAATATATCTGGATTTATCTGAATACTCTCACTGGTCACACCCTAATTAGCCATGGTTCCCAGCTCCTATGCGGTAAACTTTCTCCTGTACGAGTTCTAGTCTTATCTCCTTGTCCTTTGTCTCCTGGTTATAACATTTCTTTCCTTATAAGGTCAAAAATGACTTCATTTCCTCTATCTGCACTGTCAGCTGTCTTCTTTTTCCTCCATTTCCTTCCTTGCATTTCAAAGCCAATTATTCCATTCTGTATGATACCAGCCCTGGCCCACTCACACTTGCTGTGACTTTCTACCACAAAACTTCGTCTCTTGCTGCTTTGTTGACTTTCCTACTCACTCCCCTAACTTTCTGAACTCTTGTCCATAAATGTATACTGATTCTGTTTCTTTTTTCTTTTTGCTTATGTGGTGCTGAGGAATTGAACCCAGGGCCTCAGGCACGCAAGGCATGCACTCTACCACTGAGCCACCTTTCCAGCCCCTGTATACTGATTCTGAAACTGCTTAAAATGTGGCTTATTCCATCAGTCTTTGCTGAAACCATTGTCACTGGTGACTTCCTGATTGTCCAGAAATCAATGCCTCATCCACTCTAAATACTCTACAGCAACTTCTTTTCTGAAATTGCTTTTAAGGTTTTCATGAAGCTTTCTTCTTTGTTTATTGCTGTTGTCAGTTCATTTTCTTCCTTCTGTATAAGGAATAAAGACTCATACCTGCTTCTCTCCTAGGTTCTCTTATTCTTACCTTTGCACATTTCCAATATAGCTCTAATAGGACATTTGCGTCCATCTTAAGTTGCTTAAATTTCAAGCTCTTCTCCCTACTCCTCCCCTCTCTTCTGTTCTCTCTCCTTCCTTCCCATTTCCTTCCCTCCCTTCCTTCCCTCGCTCTCCTATTGAGCCATTTGATTCATGTCTCCAGCTTTTTTTTGCTTTTGTTTTTCTGTTTTTTAGATAGAGTCTCATGCTATTGTCTGAGCTTGTCTCAGTGATCTTCCTGTCTCTACCTCCTAAGATACTTGAACCCAATATGTATCTCAATGACTTCTGAAAGTCAGCATTTACAAAGCCTTAGAGCACTCATCTTTGATGGCCTTCAATGAACAACTTCCTATTGTCTCAAGTTCACACCAGTTGCTAAATTTGTTTACTTTCAGTACTTTAATTCAGCTTTCATTACTTTTTATTTCAACTATCCCAAAACATCCATTGCTGAGCCCTCTCATGCTCTATGTTTTCTACATATTATTGCCAAATGAACTTTTCCTTTTGATTGGAGTTTTCTCTTCATGAATATAAGTTACTATATGGACTTCCAACTTACTGCGATGGAGGACTTTTTAGTAGGCAAAGGTCATCTCCCCAGTTAGAATATCTCCATGGCTTCCTTCCAATAAAGCAAACCTTTCAACTCTAGTCGTGCACGTGGGATGATTCTTTGTAATTTCATCCTGTCCTGCCAGGCAGTCTGACAGTCCTTCCTGTGTTCCAGGCTTATTTGCACACCTTTGTCTTTACATTGTGCTGTGCCCTGTGCCCCTTAGTCTCTCCCCTGAGTTTTCAACGTCCCTTTTCCTCTTTATGAAAGTGGAATTAGCTACTTATTTGTCTATATTTCCATATTTTTAATGCATGGGCCTACAACAGTGTTTATCAAATTCTTATTTGTCTGCCCATCTGTTCATTTGACTCGAGTTCTTAAAAGACTGAGTCTCCAGATCATTCCAAGATTATTTTTGACATCTTAATGCCTGGAATAGTCAGTAAGTTCTGAATAAATAAGGAACTATTTTGTTTTGTCATAATCTACATTTTTTTTGGAAGTGACACTTCATGTAGATACTGCCATAAAGATCTAGAAGTCATTCTTTAGGACCCAAACTTTTCTATCATGGTAGATCACTGAAGACAGGATAAGAGAAGGTAACAAGGTAAATTAAGAAAAAAAAATCCTATTTTTCCTTAATAGGCACCATCATCATTCTGACTAGGTAGGGTTATGGATAAAGTAGCCTGTGGGAGGATGGTGGGAGGAGAGATACCTCCAATCCTAAATTGTGTGCAGGGAGTGATCAGCCTATCATTTCAAGGCCTGACACAGGGACTGTGGTATATTACTTTGGATATGTAAGTTAATGAGGTAACGTTTCCTATCAGATATAAAAAACACAAAGAACAAGAAGCCCAAAAGGATGAATGAATTAATCAACTAGTTAGTTAATTGTTAGGTAACTTTGTAGTTCTATGGACTCAGGGACTCACACTTGCTGAGAAAATACTCTACCACTTGATCCATGTCCACAGTCCTTTTGTATTATTTTTAGATGGGGTCTCATGCTTTTGCTACGTTAGCCACAGACTCTGATCCTCCTACCTTCACCTCCCAAGTAGTTGGGATGAACTACCCATCATAACAGGTCCCTGAAAGCTTATCAGTATTTGACCCAGCTAGTTGATACCTTTGTCTCACTAATGTTCTACATTAGAGTTGACTATAACAGATCCAATGTGATATGAATCACATAGTCTGGCTCAGGAGGGCAGGACAGGTGGCCAATAACTTCCTCTTCATATGGGATATGAGGGTGGGTGGGAGGTAGCTTCTCAGCTTTCCCACTTGAGGGCTCCCTGTACAAGTTAGTTATGGAATCTTACCATAAGCAGATTTTGTCTTCTGTTGTTTTCTTAGGGGTCGATGGAAATGGACAGAAGAATTACTAGATTTTTTCATTTTCCTCCTTTTGGCTCTTTTCAACGTCACCCTTTCTAGTAGCAAGTGATGGTGACCCAAGAAGCAAAGGACATTCTGGGAATATGTTCTGACTTCTGTTTGTTGCAATCCAAGACTAGAAGAAACAGCTACGAACTGTGCATTGGCTCTGTGTAGAAAGGTCTGAGCTACTTCCACTGCTCAATCATGCTGCCATGACAGTAGGGTGACAGGATTCTGGAAGGAGACTTGGTCTCTTTGGCAGGAAATGGGGCAGAGTAGTCAGTAAAGGCAGTGAGATTCCAGCAGAGAGGGGGAGAGAATTTCCTCTGTGACATGGCTTTGCAGCCCTGCCAGGGCTTTGTGACTCTCCTCAAAGCTTAGTGAACTCATCATTATTCCTGAGAAACAAATATGACACCTTCCTGGTTCAGTCCTTATATCATGTTACAGAGTTTCTGTATTTCCCTCTTTGCTCAGTTACATAGGTTTTAATATTTATGTAGGAATATTTTGTTTCTGGCCATGTCTTTCCTTAGTACTGGAAGCACATGTGAGATTTTCTTTTTTCCTATTTTGCAACCTCTGGTTGTAACTCATCGCCAATATAGCACAGAGACTTTTTATTATATTTGTGACTTTTGCCATGATTCACCATCCATACAAATGACCCAGTTGCTATAGAAACATAACTATTAGGAAGTGGGCAGCAAATAGTGGCATAGGATAAAGACGTAAATAAGGAAGGGGAAATAAACCAGGGTGTAGTGAAAGTGGCAGTAAAATTTTTATTCCAAGTTACTTGAAAGACCTTTATATCTAATGCAACCATTCCAAAACTTAAGGAATAAAAAAAAAAAAGACTTTTTTTAATCTGAAAAGGTCTGATTTTTTGAGACTATTTTTAAAGGGGGTATAAAAGTTCTGATCATTTTGGGCTCTATTGTTTGGTTTAAATATAAAATACCTGATCTTTTGAGACACATTAATAAAGATCTTGTTATGTACATTATCAGTGGTGCTTTAGTGACAAATGTCTACAAAAACATAAAGTAGAAATTTCTTGAACCAGGTTTCTGGTTCTATGTTAGAAAATAATGTGCTGATTTGAGAGAGAATTCATAAGTTAGCTATGGGCATCAGTGATTGTTGCCTCAGCTTTATTCCTACTACAAAAGTCAAGATGTGTAAATACCAACCTGCGACATCCAAACATATTATCATTCATTTCTATTCACTAATGGCTTTAATCAACACAGCAAGTATTACCTAACACAAACAAATGGTTAGCCTTTGAAGCAGAAGTACAAACATTAATAAGTTCATTTTAATTGCTCTTTCCTGCTGAGGACTGCTAGCCTATTTCTGCCAGTGATGAGTAGTTTGCCTAAAATCATTATACATAAAAACTTCATATGCAACTATCTACCTAAAGACCTGAAGGAATTATATGGAAGCCTCAAGGTCTACCTAAATATCATGCAGAAGTATAGCCATTATAGAAAAATGCCTCAATGTGAAAGCAATGTCAATAGATTTTTACATGTGACATTTCAGAGTCAGGCTAACATAAACTATACAGTTCAGCTAATGATTAAGTCATACCAATTATCAGCAGTCATTTTATATTCACACATGCACCTCATCTCATATGATCCAAGAGAGCTTAAGAAAGTTGCTGAAGGTACTATAAGGTAGAAAGTAATGATTCTGGGATGAGAGGTCTCTAGATTCACAACCAATTCATTACATTGCCTGCAACTGGTTTCTTCCAAGAGTAATCAACATACCCTCATCTCAGTCATGACACAAATGGGACTCTAATGCTCCTTTTTTGCTTTTTTACTAATTACAGATGAAAAATCTTCTTACACTTGATAGGACATGGAAGTCAAAACTCATGCGAATAGCATCAGCACAAATCAAGATGGTGGCCCCATCTTTTGCTCTGGCTTTCTGTGTAAGGAAAACTTTAGGCATTTATATCATGAAGAAACTGATTCACAGTGTGGGTGACATGTGTTGTCCCACAGTGTTTGTGGCACCGGTGGCACTTGTGAAAAACCCTTTGGGAAATGATCAATTTCTAGCTAATAAGCTAAAGAACTAACAATCCCAATCACTCCTCCTCACAAAGACATTCTCTTGTCAACACTAGCTGGGAAGTGCCCAGGTTTGGTTTAATTTAGATACCTTATGAATGCTCCTTACTTTTATTTGCATGGTAAACACAGGAAGAAACCCATCTTCTTTAGGGTTCTTTACAGGAATTACAATCCCAGCTACAGTAAGAGATACAAAGGAAAGAACTACGCACACTTTTCTAAACTATGATTAGGTCTTATGTTGCCTTCTCTAAGGAGAAATGCGACGATGAGAGATGATGATCTTTCCCCAAAGCCAAGAAAATTTAGGAATGATTTGTGTTTCTTCTCTTTGAAGACATTCAGTCACTCCTTTCCTTTTCTTTCTTTCATAGGCAGATAGCCAGCTATCTTAAAGTGAGTAGACAAGTATATCTCTTGTTTATTTGTACCTAGCTGTCCCAGAAGACAGTATTACCAAGAATGATAGCTGAAGTTATTAGACTTCAGGATAAATCTAAAAAGATGAACATCCTTCCAGTACCCATAATCATCCTTTTTCTCCCTATTTATTTATTTATTGGCACTGGAGTTTGAATTTAGAATCTTCTAGGCAAGCACCCTACCAATTGAGTCAAGCCTCTAGTCCTCTTTGCTTTCAGGTTGTTTTTTTTTTTTTTTATGATAAGCGTCTCACTTTTTGACTGAGGCCATTATCAGACCAACTACTTCTACCCTGTTTTTTGAGTAATTGGGATTACAAGTGCAAGGAATCATACATAATCTCTTCCAATGTCAACGCTGAAGAGGGTAGTAAGCAATACACATAAATCTGGGTGCTGGTGGCTCATACCTGTAATCCTAATTAATTAGAAGGTTGAGATCCAGAGGATTGCATTTCAAAGCTATCCCAGACAGAAAATCTCCAAGATAACTAGTAAAAAGAGGGATAAAGGCAGGAAGTGGTAAAGCATAGAAGCAGGAAGTGGTAAAGCATTAGGTGCTCAACAAGTCTGAGGACGAAAGAAGAAAACAAATCTATATGGGAGAAATCTCAATAGGTTACATTCATGCAGGAAGCAATGGAAACTTGGAGAATGGGATATATTTTGAAAAGAAACATTCAAATGTATCATTTCCTTTTGGGAGGTCAAGAAATTTGGAATGAACTTTATAATAAACATTGAACAAGAGTATGAGATTCCTACATTTATCAAAAGAGTCACAGAGTTTGTACAAAACTGCTTTAGAAGGAATACAAAAGCCAGAACAAATGTTCGGATCCAAAGATATCCAGAATACAAAAGCAACTTAAAAGAAAATGAAAAACACCACATCTTTGATTATCTCACAACACTAAAGAGCAAGAAAAAACTCACAACCAAAAGTTGCATGCACAGGGAGCAGAAACTAATTCATTCATATCCACAAAATCAGTTATATTCAAGGTAATGTTTCTCAGATAGACTATGAGTGCCATGTCATGGTCTTCTGCTGTGGGTTACATAGAAACTGCCTGATTACGTAGGCCCTTAAGCTCCTTTTCCCGTAGCTTTCAATACACCAATGTACTTACCAACGCCCTTGTATTTTCTGCACAAATGGCTAAGGGGGTCTGACATTTCACTTACGAGAGCTTTTGAAGTCTTTCTTTTTCAGTCTCCTCCTCATCATGGTTCCTCGTGGGCTGGTGGAGTAGAGGCTTCGAGGTAAAGTGCCCATATTCAGGGAACTCAGGCTGTATGCACTCATGGAGGTAGGAGAGAAGGATGAAGACACCACAGCTGCTGGAAGAGAGGGAACACTTGGCACCAAACACTCCCCAGGTGAAGCGTGAGCCTGCCAAACTTGCCACCCAGCCAAAACTCAGAAAGACATACATGATACATAGCCATGCCTCTGTGCTGCCCCAACCAGAGAGAGAGCAAGTCAGGAGCCAGTGCCTTGAAATCTCATACATAGCTCTAGCCATTTACATGGGTCCAGGAGGAGCAGGGCCCTCAGACACATTAGAGCACAGAGAGACTTTATGAATTTTGCATTGAACAAAACGAATACAAGAACTAAAACAAGTTTCTCCACAGGACAACACAAGGCCTAAGATAGGTGATCTCATTTGCATAGGTATTTTCTGACGTGAATATCCTAAGTGATTTCACATATACAAAGATCTTAGGGCACCATAGTCTATAATATTCCTGATCTTCCTTGAATTGAAAAGGAAGCATTCTGGCCATTTACATCCTGTCTTAATGAGAAATGCTATCAGAAAAGAAGAAAATGTAGGGGGTGCTGCAAATAACATGCTGTTACGCAAAAACAACACAAAACAAACAAAATGCCAATCAACACCCTGGAAACGAAAGATGGAATGAAGGAGAGTAGGATCTCAATAAAAGGCAGCAGAAGGAATGGAACATTACGAGGGCTGTTGGGAGGAGGTGCTTTCGGGAGGGTCAGGGCTGGTGCTCGGCAGAGGTCGGGGTGGTGCGTGTTACAGTGATGGTTGGTGTGAAGGCTGCACTGGTTGTTGGCCCAGGAATCCCAGGGAAGTTGTCTGTCGCTCCTCTGAATTTTCACTGCCCATATGAAGTGATGATGAGAAATAGGAAAAACAAAACAAAACAAACAAAAAAAGAGGAAAAAAAGTAACTGAATTGCACAAATTTTTAAAAAAAATGTAACAAAAATGAAAGCTGCTTGCAAAGAAAGAAAAAAAAATCTGCTTGGCTTTGCCCTTTTCTTAGTGGTCAGCAAAACAGATGATTAACATCAGTGATGATTAACAGATGATTAACATCAGTGATGGAAAGTTTTCATCTTCCCAGGAATAATGCCTGCCTTCTCCCAGCCCATTTTTTCCCCTCCTTCTAAGACGACTATTGATCAATTCCTAATCTCCCCATGTGATTTGCAGAAAAGATTAAAAACTTTTTTTTTTAAATTTAAAAGTCAGCCCCATAAAGATCTATGGCATACAATTAGTAATTAAAGAGATGCAAGTCTTGGCCAGTTAGTAGCACTTGTTTAGAGAAAAAGGAAAGAAGAGACAATAAATCACATTGGCTCCTGATTCGACTGGTTTCCTAGTTATACACCACAATTTACTGCCCTGACATTTTAAGCACATCATCATATATCATGTGCACTTGATGTTCCTCAGCAATAAAGGACTCTAATCATCTGTCCTTATCAGAATCTGATCTGTATCCTCACTAATGAGGAGAAGAAAAAAACGTCTCAATATATTTTATGACTTTTGTTTTTGAAAAAAGCATCTTTGCATCAGTGATCTTTCATTCTTCTAATACTTCACACCATCTGTAATTTCCTTAAGACATCATAAAATTGCAACAAAGTTTAGGTGTCCCTCGTATTCTTTAAAAATATCATCATGTTTCCATTCAAATTTCAATCTTATTAAGGATTTTCCTGTCAACTGTTGTGAAATATGAGTCATTTCATGCTTGGTACTAGATTGTTCAGTCTTTCACGGAACAATCTGAAATAGTTAAACGTAACTGTGAATTTCTATTTTTTCCTGCTTTTGTGATTGCCATACTAAGTATCTGACGTGCGAATGATTCAAAGCTATTCACATACCTATTACTCACTCTGTGCACATTTAAAGCAGGCTCATGTAGACAAGAAGCTTACTTTCTCCCAGCCACATAATCAGCTTCCTTGCCCTCTGCATCCTTTGTGGACTGAGTAGCAGTTGGAGAATCAGCCCTTACCGCCGCCCGGCCACTCAGGATGACGATGATCAGGATTTCATTTTTGCCTAAGTCCTTGCTCTCTTTATGACTCTGCTAGCTACTCAGCCTCTGCCAGCCTCCGTTTTCCTCATCTAAAAGAGGAGATGATATAAACATCTAGTCTGCAAGACTGTTGAGAAAATACATACAGGGCTCGTCCTAGGGCTGGCCTGCAGAATAAAAATAAATGAGCTACGAGGAATAGTATCGATTCCCAACAGTTCTATCTACTCACCAACAATAAAGTAGCTTATTTAAAGAATAGAGATGTATTTTTCCCATAATAAATTTCACTCACTGGTCACTTGAGTCTTATAGGATCTGTCAGAAATCTGCAGAACACTTTCACAGTTGTCATAATATTTTAGTCTTAAATGATCAGCCTTCTCCTTCATCCCATGGTTGGTTCTTTTAAGTCTCCCTCTTCTCTTTTGTTCTCTCTCTCCCCAACCTCTGCACTGTCCTAGTTCAAGTTACTGTCTCCTTCACCTAGACCTCTGTAACACCTTTTGACTTAGTTTCCTGATTCATAACCTGCACATCTGTTCCAAGAGCTACAACACAGCAAGGATGTTTGTGTATTTGTGTCTTGTACATGGACTAACTCCCCTTTTAAATACCATTACAAACAGAATCAAAGGCAGTCCCTAAATTCATCTTTAGCTTCACCTGCATCTCCTCATTAGTCGCCCATTTCCACCAGGCTGGTCTCATGCTTGATCTTAGAACCAGCCAGTCCACCTTCCTGCCTCAGTGTCTTTGTGGTCATTACTCTTCCCAGCCCCAGCTGTTCCTACCACCAGGCCCTGCTCACCAGCCAGCTCTCAGCTTATATACTACTTCTTCAGAAAAACAGCAGCTGAACTCCTTGGCTGGAGAATCAACTTCTTTCCTATTATCCCATTACTGATTTATATTCTTCCTAACACTTATCCCTGTTTGAAATGGCCCCATTTTCTATAATAAATTTTTAATGTTTATTTCTGTATGCAAGAATGTAAACTCTTCAAGAATAGGGATTTACTCTGCCCGCCCTGCTCTCTACATGTATCCTAGGCAACTAAAACAGTGCCTAGCACATAAGGATCGATGAAGGAATGAGTCAATAAAAGGAATGCATGAACGAGCAGGGTTGTCAGCTAAGGGTATCTGTGTCTACACTGCAGAAACATTTCCCTTGATAGAGGATTGTTACAGGAAAGACACAAGTGACATTCACCATCTTCATTCCACTTGGTCCTATATAAGACATCATCCTTTTAGCAAGATGAAGTTATTGCTGGGTCTGGCTGATCTATTAGCCACAAACTTTATGATTCTCTTAACAAAGTATTGCCTGTATTTTCAGAGACACTAGGGTCTGGTGAACACAGTACATAACCCCACATCCACCTCTTGACCCTGTTCTTTACTGAGTGCTTAGAAAATTACTGGCAGTCAAGAGAATATTAGGGCTGTCAAGCCCAAATGAAAAATCTCTAAGAAAGGTATTATTAACTACCTACTGTGTGCCTAGGCACTGTGCAAATTGTTGTAGGAAAGTTAAATGGATGAAATCGGCACATATATGAAATAATAAAGGGAGAAGAGCAATAAGAGGATGAAACAAAATTATATGCCATGGATAACAACGTAAAAAGTCTCCAACAAATAACCTGGTACAGAGAAGAGAGTTACTGCTTATTTTGATGTGTGTTTTATCACAGTGACCAGATACTCGTGTATTAGGCAAATATAATAATAAGAAGTTACATTTTGAGCACCATCTTTTGCATTCATTCAAAGGCATTATCTTATTAAGTTATACTTGCTCCAAATTCCTACTCTCTACCAGGCACTAAGGGAAGGCCACTTTCATGGGTTATCTCAGCAAATGTTTACAACATTCCTGATACAATTAGCATCACGGTTCCCACTACACATGAAGAATCTGAGGTAAAGATGAGTTGGATAACTTGCTTAAGATCCCCCAGATGGGAGCCAGAATGTCCTAATAGATCAGTTTAGAAGTCTCTGCCCTCACCCACCACATTGTATGGCCCCTTCCTATGTATGCATAATCCTATTTCCCAAGTTGAAAAGAACAGGCTTCCCACATCATCCCATTCACATCACTGCTGTGATTTTTGAGGTTTATGATAGACAGTGCCCTCTTTTGCGCCCTGAATCCTAACCCCTTGCCTCTCTAGGAGAGCAGAGAGAACGGGCAGAGGCTGCTCAGTTGTGTGCCCCCTGGAGTCCACAAAGTCCACCTGACATGGAGGGGCAGATCCAGAGATCCCGGCCACACTTTATTTCCCAAAGTCTGTTTCCTTCACTCATGATATGTCTCCCAAAGGACTTCAGTGGGAACAATGTTTTTTTTTGGGTTCGGTCGTGGGGCCTGAACTCTGGGCCTGGGCGCTGTCCCTCAGCTCTTCAGCTCAAGGCTAGTGCTCTACCACTTGAGCCACAGCGCCACTTCCGGCTTTTTTTTTTTCTGATTATGTGGTGCTGAGGAATCGAACCCAAGGCCTCAGGCATGCAAGGCAAGCGCTCTACCACTGAGCCACCTTCCCAGCCCCAGTGGGAACAATTTTTAACCTCACTAAAAATTCATTTTTTCCCCCAGTGGTGGGCATCAAACCCAGAGTCTCAGAGACGCTAGGCAAATGTGTTGAGTTGACTCCTCAACTCTGAGAGCTCATTCCTATCAGCTTCTCGTGGAAAGCGCAGCTAATCTCGTTTTCTGAGTTGAGATATTCATTTCTACATTGTTGGGTAGGGGGTCGCTGTGGCAATTGCTTCATTGTGCATCAAATTTGGGAAATGTTTTTGTCCACTCATGGGATGAGAGACACGTTCAGGTATCAGAGATCTTGGAAAAATAACCAGAATGTTTGTGTGGGAAAATGTACAATTATGCAACAACAGCAACAACAACAAAAACTCCAGTAATTAAAAAAAAAAATAGAAGTCTGAGAATTGCAAACACAGCCAATATTTTTTGTATTATTTTTCTTCTTGAATTAATTTTTAGGAGCCAGTGTTATATTTTCTTTTAGAAATGCAAATCTAATTTTATTGGCTTATATGCTAAATAAGGCAGATAGTGAACGACTTTAAGTCAGAGCAGATAATGGGGTCAGATGGGAAGCTAGAATTACTTAGATTGTCAACCTACTTGCTCCCAGATATTAATGAAATCAGGTTCTAAAGGGAATAAAACAATGTGTTCTTGGTCCATCCATTTTAGCATATAAATTCATCTTTTCAAATTATCTTGGCAGGTAAAAATATTTAATATTTCATGAGTTGGAAACTATTTATGATTTGCATAAAGGGCAAAGAAAAGTAAAATAAACGCTAAAGATGATAGCATTTTAAAAGAGCTTGTCATACAGTTCTGACTGGCTAATAACAGAATTTAGCAAAACACCAAGCTACATTCTTAGACATTCTAGGCACCTACTCCAATGGCAACTTCAGATGAAATATTTTCTTTTTTTTTCTTCTTCTTTTTTTTGTATGTTTGTTCTGACACTGAAGCTTAAACTCAGGACCTTTTGTTCTTGCTTAGCTTCTTCGTCAAGGCTGGCATTCTACCACTTGAGCCACAACTTCACTTCCACCTTCAGATTAACTTAGAAGACACTTTCCATTTGCCGAGATGTCTGCTCAGCCAGGGTGCTGAGGCCTAGGAGACTTCCTAGTAGGAATGGCAGGCACTTTCCGAGCTGTACATCCTGGAGTTCCCTGGCATCTCTAGTCACTGACACTGGTTTTCTTCTCCTCAGCTGCTCAATGGAGCATCATTTCTCTACTCCAATTTGTAAAATTAAAATCTGATAAGGGTAATGTTGTACTAGAGGTTTTCATTAGCTCCAGGGCTGTCTAAGCTCTACTTAATTAAAAAGGTTGCATCCAGCTGACTCGTTCGGTATGAAAATTATCTAGGCCATTTTTAAAAAATTGCACAGAAATGCATTGCTTTTCAGAAGATGGGGAATGCATAATACAAATGATCTCCCCTTAAGCAAAAGTTCACTTCTAGAGACAACTTGCTCTCTTTCTCAACACAGAAATACACCCTTGCTTTTAGGCTAGACTTGCCAAGTTCAGTGAGGTCTCCTGCTTCAAGGCTTAGAAAGGGCATGTTCAGTAAGGAACAGAAAAGGGGCAGAACAGAGACCCCATTAATGTGTCGACTTCATTCAATTTAGGGCTCAGCGTCTTTTTTTGGACCCAATTCTGTTTATGATGCCCAGTTGGATGCTATATAAATGCTCAGCAAGGCAGTGAAAATACAGATTCCTTCCACAGACATTTTTTTTTTTTATTACACGAATGAAGGGAAATATTCAGCTTCTTCTCAGCAAGCAGTTTGGTCTGACAGGCTGTCTGTCCTTCAGCTGAAGGGAAAAAAATATCCTGAGAAGAAATGTACAGGAAGCTAGCCCTTTGGGGTCCCCCATCAAGTAATTGATTAATATCTACCTTATTTTTAAATAAACTTGTCTTCATTGTCCTTCCTCTAGACTGGACATTCAAAATGAATAACAGGAAGTAAGCTTATTCCCCTTCTCATCATACTTTATTTGCACCAAAGAGTTGAAAAAAATACAAAAAAAGATACAAAAATACAAATAATACAAGCCTAAATTTTCTATTGGAAACCATGATGTCTTCTCTTCCTTTTTGGAGTTCCCAACAAATTACATTTTGAATTTGGTGTTTCGAAAAGAAATGATAAAGACATTAATCTTCCCATGTGCTCTCTCTCTCTCTCTCTCTCTCTCTCTCTCTCTCTCTGTCCTTATACTGGGACTTGAATTCAGGGCCTGGGTGCTATCTTCTAGAGTTTTCACCCAAGGCTGACACTCTACAACTTGAGCCATAATTCCACTTTAGGCTTTTTGGTGATGAGTCTCACAGACTTTCTTGCCTAGGTTGGCTTTGAACCCCTATCATCCTCAAATCTCAGCCCCCCTGAGTATCTAGGATTAAAAGAATGAGCCACTGCCGTCTGCCAGTACATTCTCGAGGGAACAAGAAAAAGAGGTTCGGACAGAGTATTCCTCTCACCATGGTCAGGACCCTTCAAGGCCAGGCGGGTCTGATGATGTGGAAGAATCTCCAGCTTGACCTGGTCGGTGGTGTTTGCCAGGAACTGGGTCGCTTCTGCCAGAGTACAGTACTCCATTCCAGTGCCGTCGATGGAGAGAATGTGGTCGCCCACGTGCAGCGCCCCGCATCTGCAGAGAGGACAAACAGGACCTTGACAAGCCTTCCTCCTTGGAATCTGAATTTCTGTTCCTTCAGAGATAAGACCTTCACACCATTTTTATTTATACTAAAAAAAACCCCAGGAAACTTTGAGTGTTACAGGAAGCACCATCTGTCAAACTTGAGGCACTTTAAGTATAATTAGGTATGTGAAATCTCATACAAAATGTAGAAAAATGTCATTTAAAAGTGTCTTATGTTAATATTAACTAACCTCCCATGTGAATATTGCCTTGTTAAGCATTGTGCCTTATTTTATTAGGTTGTTTTGTTGAAATTCAGTTCTGTATTTTGGAAAAATAACAGTATTTTATTCTTAATAAATACAAATTTATTCTTAAAAAATCTGAAATCCTAATAATGTTTATACTTGCCTATTATATCATTGCTTATCTGTTTATTGAACTTATTCAATGCATGAATCTATAGCTTAAAAAAGTGTCTTATGTTGGAGGAGTGATATAGACTGAGAAGTGAGGAAGAGTGAGGACTGGGAGATATTTCCCCTTGACTTTTTTCTGTGGGATTCCCTAGTAGGCTCTCCTACCTATAAATGCCAGTCAATACATATTCAGAATCTTGATGTAACTCATAGACTTGGAGTAGGGGTTTTTATAATGTATGAATGATAATAACTTGGGGAGATTTAGTTATTATTACCTTAGGATCCCTTCCTTTAAGTTCCCAAATCACCAATGCTGTGACTCAATTATTATTTATTTATTTTATTGTTCAAATGAGGAATAAAGAATGGCCTGCATGGTGAGTCCGGGGGAAAGATGGGGTAGGACTCACTGGTACATCTTTCTGAATTAAGAGACTGGCTATTGCATGGGCTGAGCAAAGCCAACACAGGAGGTAATGTCTTTAATTACCAGGCAAGTGGACAGCTCCTTAAACTGGTTAGTCAATGCAGAATAGGAGAAAACAGAGGGAGACTGCTTTCATCCTGTGCCACTGAACTAGACAATGTCCTGGGATCAATAGCTGCCACTGCCAAAGCAGTGCATGAAGGTGGAGCTGTTGAATAACCTCTACTAGGGATGATGCAGGTCCTCCTGCCTCAATCTGGAGGATTTCTAGGCAGGGTACAAGCAAGCAGAGAGGAAGGGTGGAAACCACACAGAGTGTGCTGGTTGTTTTAGAGTCTACCTACAGTTTTCCAGTGTGGATTATCTACTTCCAAGACAAAAACATTTCAAAAGCTGGGAGCTGGTGGCTACTCAGAAGACTGAGATCTGAAGATCATTATTCAAAGCCAGCCCAGGCAGGAAAGTCCATGGACTTTTATCTCCATCTAACCAACCAACCAACCAACAAACAACCAAAAACCAAAAACCAAACCAAAACAAAACAAAACAAAAAAACAGCCAAAAGTGGAGCTGTGGCTCAAGTGGTAGAGCACTAGAATAGAGCTCAGGTCCTGAGTTCATCCCTCAGTACTGGAAAAAACCCCCACAAAACCCTTAAACATTTAAAGATGTTCCCTCTGTCTAAAAATATTATACCATGGTACAAGGAATACTTCAGCTGAATACTTCAGTGGGAGATGGGAATTTTCTCATTAGGAGCTGTAAAATAATTTCATACACGGGAAAACTCCTTCCCCTTACTTTTTACATTACAAGCATAAAATATTAGTTAAGAAGAACAAATTTCATTTTTTATTATGGTGTTGGTTGTGAAACCATTAAGATTAATATGCTATGACAATATCAGACCTGATCTTAAAGACTACATTACTTTAAAAATATTGTTTTATCTATATTTTAAAAACTGAATAAAATTTTATGGTATCAGGATTTAATTGCTAACAATGCAGGAGAAACCCTGTGACTCCTCTGCATGAGGCTTAATAAAGATCAGTTCAGCTACCCTGCATCAAGAGTAGGCAATCATTTTACCGTAGGATGCATTAAGAAAATTTCCTTGGTGTCTTGACTTGCTTTTTTTTTTATTGCTAAGGGCCACACTAAACATCTGGATGAAGTAACATTACATCCTAAGGTGGCTGATAAGGTAGTTACAACTTTAAAGCCCCACAACATTAATTTGTTTCCCTACCTGAAATTTCAATAAACTGGCAAGAGCTTTTGCTTCTGTGTGTGTGTGTGTGTGTGTGTGTGTGTGTGTGTGTGTGTGTAGTTCCACAGGCCACATGTTGGACAGATGCACAGAATTTTAAAAATCACACATGCAATTAAAAAATGTAGGCACCTTCCATGACACTCACCTGTCTGCAATACTTGCAGATTTGATTTTGTCTATGACAATGACCTGTTTGTTACAGCACATCGAGGTAGTTAGGGCGACCCCAAGGCTGGCACCGGGAGTTTTGGCAACTTCAACTAGTAGTGGCCCTGATGCTGTTGCCACAGAATCTGCCAAGGAATAAAGTTCAAGAATGAAAACAAGATGAAATAAAAAAAATAAGCCAACAAATGAAGAAGGGATGTCAGCTTAATAATCTTATCATTGAAATTTTGGTACTCTTCTATAGAACATTCTCTGAGGGCACCTTTAGGCCACCCTTCCCACCTTCCAGCTTGTATCATCATAACATGTGCACATAGCAATCTCTCCAATAAGATTTTGAGCTTCATGACAGTTGGGATAATGTCTCATATCTTAACACCTTGCTCATTGCTTGACATAGTGATGGATACATATTAGGTCTCTCCTAAAACTAATTCAATGAGTATCCAGCAGCTACTATGAATATATGGATAGATGGATAGATGGATGGATGGATAGATACATGATTAGAAGGAAAGGTAGCTGGAGGAAAGGGTAACGGAGGGGTAAATGGATAAATAGGTGAGGTAAATGGAGAAAAATGAAGAAAGAAGAAAGTAAGGAAGAATGAAAGGAAGGAAATAAGGACGATGAAAGGATGTATAGATGATGTCTTTAGCTTGGTAAGTAGTAGGTATGAGTAAACTAAGTGGAATTTTAAATCTGTTTCTTCAGTTTTTTTTGGGGGGGGTTGGTTGTGAGGCTTAAACTCTGGGCTTAGGTGCTGGCCCTCAGCTCTTCAGCTAAGGTGAGCGCTCTACCACTTGAGCCACAGTACCACTTCCAGTTTTTTAGTGCTTTATTGGAGATAAGAGTCTCATGGAGTTTCCTGCTCAGGCTGGCTTTGAATCACAATCCTCAGATCTCAGCCTCCTGAGTAGATAGGATTACAGGCGTGAACCACTGGTGCCCAGCAAATCTCTGTTTCTTTTTCTAATTGTACCTTAGGGGGGGTCACCTGCCCTTCTGGAGTGACCTTATATATGTTTCACTTGTGGCTGGAATACTCTTCATTCTTTCAGTCCTTATTCATGCTTGAGGATTCAATATAAACATTGACAATTTTAGGAAGCCTCTCTAAGTCATGATTTGGTAAGATGTTCTTTTCCAGTGATATTCCACCCCACTGTATTCCTTCTACTGCTTCTTCTCAAACTGGATGCGATTCCCTCCCATGGGCATTTCAACTTCATGAATCGCTGCATATCCCCTGAGCTTCAGCCACAGATACAGAGTTCCCAGGTCACTATTTCTGATCGGTGGTTTGGTGATAAAAATGTACAACTGCACTGATGAATGAAGTCTCCAACACCAGAGTAAGAAAGAGAAGAGCGAGGAAGAAAGGAGGGATAGATGATGTTATGGTTTCACAACAGTCAGTTGGGATTACATGTCTCTCTCCATTGTCAGATTATGAACCTATTCTGAAGAAAGAGTTAAAGTCTTGCCAACCACAGCATTCTCAGTGTGTGGCCACTGAGATGGTTGACACCTAAAAGGTCTACAATTAATAGCTATTGAATGACTATGTTAACAAGGAAGAAAACTCTTATGGTTGCTGAGAGTACAGAACATAGTCCTGTATAGTGGGTTAAGAAAAATAGCCCTGTACATTGGTTAAGGTAGTCACACTTAATTCTTGTTTACACAATATTTCCATCATGGTACCTTGGACAAGTTACTATATTTTTCTTCGCCTTACTGTTTACTGATAAAATGTTACTTCTTCTTATGAGGTTTATTGTGACAAAAATGTATATTTTAAGCCATCTGCTGTGCATATAGGTGATTTATTATTATTATTATTATTGATTCATTCTGACCTCAACCATGAGATTATCATATCTTATTTTTAGGATTGTATATTGGCCTATAAAACTTTTCTGTTTTTCTCCTGCTTTAGTGTTGGAGACTTAATTAAGCGGTTCTACTGATTCCTCAAGTACATCTTTATCATCACTCTTAGATATTGTGAACTAGGAAATCTGGGTCTCAGATGGCTTAAGGTGATACAGGGTGATTCATGAAGTTGAAATGTCCATACAAGAGATCCATTTCCACTTTGAGACAAAATAAGATATTTGTTAAGTAAGGTAAAGATGAGAACATTCTTGCCAGTAACATATATTCTAGTGCTAAGGATTCTCATGTATACTGTATATGATTGGTAATACTGAAACAATTTGGTTTTATAAAGAGAACATTAGGGTTTTACATCTTCCCACCAATTCCAGGGCAGAGTCTTATTGATAATAGTTGAAAAGAGCTGGAAGGCTTTTTATCTGAGCTAATAGGCTGCTTTACCCCAAGGCCTATGAATAAGTTGGCCATGAGCCTTCCGCGATGGCTGCCACTCTCTGCTTTTGCTCACCCTGCTAAGCAAAGGCATAAATTCCTCCATTGTCCTGCCATCAGTGTAGGGCCAGTGACAGCATTCTGCTTTTGCGCTCTCTTCGTTTCCTGCCATTCTGTTTGGTGTCTCACGGTCACGATGCTGTGCACTTTGAACTTTACAGTGACTGGCCCCAGGTGATACACAGCAGGTGTTTGCCCCTCAACTGGACTCTCTGGTCAAAATTCAGGTCAGCCCCTGCAGCCTGTTTTAGTTGTCCTTCCAGCACTAGGGGGTTGATTTTCTCCACCCTTCCGTTCTGGTTGAGTGAGGCACTCCTAATGGATGCTTGGAGATCTGAAGTATGATTTCACCCCTGGTTTTCTTCTCTTCATAAACAGCTCCCATTGTACTACATCACACAACGTAGATCCCAAGTGGCACTGCCAACTCATTCTTTACCCCTATCCTCAAAAATTCCTCTTGACCCTACCTGTGAAATAACTCTCAATTTCATTTTTTCCATTCTCTCTCCACAATTGCTAATTTAATCTAAGTAACCACCACTTTACACTCCTGGATCCTCTTGTGCCCTCCATCTTACCCAGTCCAGAGTCATCTATTAAAAGTTTTTTTTTTTCATGTCAATCCCATGCCTAAAACCTTTCCATAGCTGTCCCACTAACAGAGAAATGTTTTAGTATGCACAGTGATATGCATGACTCAGCTCCTGCTTGTCACATCAGTTGGCTTTTCTTCCAGTCAGTTCTAGACCTTTCTCTCTGCTCCAGCCCCCTTACTCCTCTTTCAGTTCTATGAAATTGCCTAAGTTGTCTCCTATCTGCTCCTTTTTACCTGGGTTGCTCCTCTCTCCCTACCCCTCCTACTCCTGCTCTAGAATGCCATGTCTCAGGCATTCCTGCCTGGTCCTGCAAACCACGTCAAGCTGCCTGTTTTCAACCCTCATAGAGCTCTGTGCTTTTCCTTCACAGTACTTTTAATATGTGCAATTCAACAACTGATTTCTTAACTAGCTGTTAATTAATTGCTTCTTGATTAAATATGTAAACTCGTGCAGCAGGGATCCTGTGTGATGTTCATGACTGAGATTCTCTACAGTGTTGACACAGCAACCATCTATCAAATAGGTGCCTGCTGACACTTGTTTATGGAATGAGTTAAGAGAATGACTAGCTGTCACGGTATTCAAAGCATTATGCTAATGACACTGAATATACAGAAATTCAATTCATATTCTTTTGCCTAACATAGTTTTAATGTACCTGAGATCACATGAACCCATATCTAAAAGCTTCCAATGGCTGTTCATGCATCAGAGTGCATACACACACGGATGCCATTGGTGATGTGGAAAGATATTTTTCTTTTGTTTAACTTCTGAGCCTATACAGAGTATATACATATACTATACATAGTATCAGAGTATTAGCTATATGACTTTATCCAATAGCTGAAGAATAATTAATGCACAAGACTTTGGAAGAAAGGTAGTCCCACTTTCTTTCAGATAGAACTTGAATTCAAGTTATTCTCCCTCAAAAGCAGCCGCTAAATCATGGGAAATAGTTAAGTAAACATGCCGCTTTCAGAATCATGAAATCTTAGAAGAGACCAGTGTCATTTGGAGATTGGCACAAAGATCCTGCACCTTAAAAGCAGGAACAGCTATCAATGTCTGGAAAGCCTGGGGCAGGTACTGCCTCACCCTGGGAGAAGCCACTGAAGCTGCTTTTCTGTAGAGGATTCTGAGTAAATCATGTTGACTAACAGCTTCACAGAGACATGGAATACAGACTGATGTTTCAGTCAGGGTCCAACTAGTAACATGTAACAGATAAAGTCAAATGAAGATAGCTGGGGATGATTTTTAATAAAGGAACTATTTACAAAGGTGTGGGAAGTTTATAGTGCACTGCCCTTAGCCAAAAACAACAGAGAATCACATACTACCAAGCCTGGGAAAACAAATAATAGAACTGTTGGTGGAATAGGGATTTGGAAAGGACTTAAGTGGGGAGGCTGAGACCTTTAACCAAGGGCTATAGCCAGTCCCAGTGTATCTACAGAGAGGGAGCTGGGGAAAATACTGGTCCTTCCTTTCTATATCCTGATCCTTCCTTCTATGCTCTCTAACCATGATTTGCTGTAGTCAAACCCTAGTAGAAGCAAGAGGAATGAGTGTCCACGGTGCAGCCTACGTAGGTCATAGCAAAGAGTAACATGAAGGGTTGCGAATGGCCCTGGAGGCAAAATGGAAGACATCCTTATTTATGGTATAACTTTTCACAAAAGTCTCAGGTCTGTTTGTTTTAAGCAAAATATGTGATATAAGGAACAAATCAGGCAGGAGAAGGGTCTATAGCTCCTGTACCCATAAGAGCCAATAGACATGACTTTCTTTAACTACAGAAGTAACTCAGAATCATAATCAAATCTGGAGAAAATAGATTAAAAAGCTGCCAGAGGAATTATTTAATGGGTACAGGGTTTCCATCTGGGGTGATAAAAGTAGGCAGAGGTAATGCCTATACAATGTCATACAAAATGACATTGAACTGTATACTTTAATTTACTTTTTTTTTTTTGTCGGTTGTGGGGCTTGAACTCTGGGCCTGGGCACTGTCCCTGAACTCTTCATCTCATGGCAAGTGCTCTACCACTTGAGCCATAGCACCACTTGAACTGTATACTTTAAAGTGGTAATTGTATGTTTTGTAATTTTGTGTGTGTGTG